CAGATCACACAGTAAGCTGCAGAACACAGATCTCACAATAAGCTGCAGAACACAGATCACACAATAAGCTGCAGAAGACAGATCACACAATAAGCTGCAGAACACAGATCACACAATAAGCTGCAGAACACAGATCACACATTAAGCTGCAGAACACACAATCTCACAATAAGCTGCAGAACACAAATCACACAATAAACTGCAGAACACAGATCACACAGTAAGCTGCAGAACACAGATCTCACAATAAGCTGCAGAACACAGATCACACAATAAGCTGCAGAACACAGATCACACAGTAAGCTGCAGAACACAGATCTCACAATAAGCTGCAGAACACAGATCACACAATAAGCTGCAGAACACAGATCTCACAATAAGCTGCAGAACACACAATCTCACAATAAGCTGCAGTACACAGATCACACAATAAGCTGCAGAACACAGATCACACAATAAGCTGCAGAACACAGATCACACAATAAGCTGCAGAACACACAATCTCACAATAAACTGCAGAACACAGATCACACAGTAAGCTGCAGAACACAGATCTCACAATAAGCTGCAGAACACAGATCACACAATAAGCTGCAGAACACAGATCACACAATAAGCTGCAGAACACAGATCACACAATAAGCTGCAGAACACAGATCACACATTAAGCTGCAGAACACACAATCTCACAATAAGCTGCAGAACACAAATCACACAATAAACTGCAGAACACAGATCACACAGTAAGCTGCAGAACACAGATCTCACAATAAGCTGCAGAACACAGATCACACAATAAGCTGCAGAACACAGATCACACAATAAGCTGCAGAACACAGATCACATAATAAGCTGCAGAACACAGATCACACAATAAGCAGCAGAACACAGATCACACAATAAGCTGCAGAACACAGATCACACAGTAAGCTGCAGAACACAGATCTCACAATAAGCTGCAGAACACAGATCACACAGTAAGCTGCAGAACACAGATCTCACAATAAGCTGCAGAACACAGATCACACAATAAGCTGCAGAACACAGATCACACAATAAGCTGCAGAACACAGATCTCACAATAAGCTGCAGAACACAGATCACACAATAAGCTGCAGAACACAGATCACACAATAAGCTGCAGAACACAGATCACACAATAAGCTGCAGAACACAGATCACACAATAAGCTGCAGATCACACAATAAGCTGCAGAACACAGATCTCACAATTAGCTGCAGAACACAGATCACACAGTAAGCTGCAGAACACAGATCTCACAATAAGCTGCAGAACACAGATCTCACAATAAGCTGCAGAACACAGATCACACAATAAGCTGCAGAACACAGATCACACAATAAGCTGCAGAACACAGATCACACAATAAGCTGCAGAACACAGATCTCACAATAAGCTGCAGAACACAGATCACACAATAAGCTGCAGAACACAGATCACACAATAAGCTGCAGAACACAGATCACACAGTAAGCTGCAGAACACAGATCTCACAATAAGCTGCAGAACACAGATCACACAGTAAGCTGCAGAACACAGATCTCACAATAAGCTGCAGAACACAGATCACACAATAAGCTGCAGAACACAGATCACACAATAAGCTGCAGAACACAGATCACACAATAAGCTGCAGAACACAGATCACACAATAAGCTGCAGAACACAGATCACACAATAAGCTGCAGAACACAGATCACACAATAAGCTGCAGAACACAGATCACACAATAAGCTGCAGAACACAGATCACACAATAAGCTGCAGAACACAGATCACACAATAAGCTGCAGAACACAGATCACACAATAAGCTGCAGAACACAGATCACACAATAAGCTGCAGAACACAGATCACACAATAAGCTGCAGAATACAGATCACACAATAAGCTGCAGAACACAGATCACACAATAAGCTGCAGAGCACAGATCACACAATAAGCTGCAGAACACAGATCACACAATAAGCTGCAGAACACAGATCACACAATAAGCTGCAGAACACAGATCACACAATAAGCTGCAGAACACAGATCACACAATAAGCTGCAGAACACAGATCACACAATAAGCTGCAGAACACAGATCACACAATAAGCTGCAGAACACAGATCACACAATAAGCTGCAGAACACAGATCACACAATAAGCTGCAGAACACAGATCACACAATAAGCTGCAGAACACAGATCACACAATAAGCTGCAGAACACAGATCACACAATAAGCTGCAGAACACAGATCACACAATAAGCTGCAGAACACAGATCACACAATAAGCTGCAGAACACAGATCACACAATAAGCTGCAGAACACAGATCACACAATAAGCTCAGACACAGATCACACAATAAGCTGCAGAACACAGATCACACAATAAGCTGCAGAACACAGATCACACAATAAGCTGCAGAACACAGATCACACAATAAGCTGCAGAACACAGATCACACAATAAGCTGCAGAACACAGATCACACAATAAGCTGCAGAACACAGATCACACAATAAGCTGCAGAACACAGATCACACAATAAGCTGCAGAACACAGATCACACAATAAGCTGCAGAACACAGATCTCACAATAAGCTGCAGTACACAGATCACACAATAAGCTGCAGAATACAGATCACACAATAAGCTGCAGAACACAGATCATGAACTTGTCTGGCAGATCCGAGCATTATAATTAATTATCAACATCTCCATTTTCCGAGTTTCAACACTTAGCGAGAGCTGTGTGAACTATGAGTTAACTTTACAGATAGTGTGTACACTTGACAAAGGAAGCTATTGTAAAAGTAATCCAACTACAGCTTCATAACTCTACTTATAATGTTATTGTAAAAGTAATAGAACTACAGCTTCTTAACTTATGTTATTGTTTTTAGGTTTCTAATGATCCACGTGCAGTGTTAACACTCACAAAGAGATTGCTGTACAATTTCTCTGTAAATAGGTACTTCTTTTCAAAACAATAGACTATATTAAGGGGGGGGGGGGGGGGGGAGGAGGGGTGAACCCTGATAATCCCCTTAAATCACAGTACAATCAAATTTCTGATTATCTGAAGAATATACGCTACTATTTGATTTTTAATGCATAAAATTCGTGCATATATATTATATTATTTACGTCTTCAGTTTACAAATCAGTGAAACACAAATATACTATGCAGGGGGACTACAGACCCCCTCAAAGTCCTTTACAACGTTACTGCCAGGTTACATAGCACTCAAATTATTTGTTATATATTAGTGTTGAAAGTATTAAAACTGTTATGTTAAGTATAACAGTTCAAACACTTAATTGGAAGTGTCTCAGCAGAGTCACACATCACTGCTGTTTTTACGGTGATGCAACAGCAGTGTGACACAAAGCGCGGCTGTCACAACAGCAGTGTGTCACAAGGCACGGCTGTCACAACAGTAGTGTGACACAAGGCACGGCTGTCACAACAGTAGTGTGTCACAAGGCGCGGCTGTCACAACAGCAGTGTGTCACAAGGCGCGGCTGTCACAACGGCAGTGTGTCACAAGGCGCGGCTGTCACAACAGTAGTGTGTCACAAGGCGCGGCTGTCACAACAGCAGGGTGTCACAAAGCGCGGCTGTCACAACAGCAGTGTGACACAAGGCGTGGCTGTCACAACAGTAGTGTGACACAAAGCGCGGCTGTCACAACAGTTTATAAGCTGTGTCACAAGACTTCGAAAACTCCGTAGTAGTTACAGCACGGGCAGAGTATGTCAGTTAAATCATGATCAGACATCAGTGCAGTGCAGTGGTCACACCTCAACGTGTACGTTACATTGCCTCTTTACGTTACATTGCCTCTTGTAGTTCAGGGGTGTGGTTCTGCTTTATCATATTCTACTGATCTACACTGACTGTAAGGAATAAGGAGCTGACACTTATCTGAAGTCATGATAAGTTATCATGACTTCAGACTTTAAAATATTATCATCACACCCGCCAGTTTGTCATATTTGTAGACCGTTAACATGTGTAGTGTGTACTAGTCTTAGTAACATGTGTACTAGTAGTACTAGTAGTACTAGTACTAGTTACTACAGATACAGAGTTACCTGTCCAGCTGCGAGCAGACTGTGTATGTAAAGTATGTATAACAACTGCAGCTATATTAGTAACATGTTAAAATACCTGGTAAATACCTGGTAAATACCTGGTAAATACCTGGTAAATACCTGGTAAATACCTGGTAAATACCTGGTAAATACCTGGTAAATACCTGGTAAATACCTGGTAAAAACCTGGTAAATACCTGGTAAATACCTGGTAAATACCTGGTTAATACCTGGTAAATACCTGGTAAATAACTGGTACTAAGCTGGTACTAAGCTGGTAGTAGTGCTGGTAGTAGTGCTGCAGCGCTTCATTTAGATACTGTCAAGAACTACTCAACCATAACAGTTTTTTAAAGGATTACTTAAACAAGTTGGTACTAGTTTGTTAGTTGGTACTGTAGACTGTAGAGCAAGGATTCGTTATTTGTGGAATGCGAAGCTGGGGTTTGGACTTATGACTTGGGTAATTGTAATAGTGTGCATCTTCTCAAGAGCTTGTGTTTAGAGGAAAATTTAGTTAAATACAAATTTATTTTGAATATTATCTAAATATACTTTATAGGTCATTAATTAATACTGAAATTCTACAGGTTTGGGGGGGGGGGGGGGGGGGGGGGGGGGGGGGGGGGGGGGGGATGTCTGTCCTGTCTGTGTTGTAATCTGTTCCTTGACTGTTTATTATTGAACTATATTGTTCGGTTAACTCAAGTTACAAGTATTAACTAAAGTTGTTGTATTACAGATTATGTACCTAGTGAACCTACCTGTTACAATTATTCCTAATATCACTTTATATTAGATAACATAAGATATACACTTTATATACACTTTACATTAGATAAGTGCATAATGCCTCCTCTTAGTCCCACTGACCTACCACCTCATATTTCAGCTTCAAGTTACCTTTATCAGCAAGTTTGAAAGACAAGGTCCAGCAATGTGAGTCCGAATTATCTTTCATATTATTGTACATTATACAATGTACACTATACAATGTACATTATACAGTATACAATGTACAATGTCACTATACAATTATTCACTATACAATGTACACTATACAGTATACAATGTACACTATACAATGTACACTATGCAGTATACAATGTACACTATACAATGTACACTATACAGTATACAATGTACACTATACAATATACAATTATACTATACAACTATACAAGTATACATAATATTCTCATTTCATCTTCGTACATACATGAGTCATTACACTATTATTAGGGGGGGTTCACCCTGATTTTCTTTCATTACACTCTAATTATTTCACTACATACCTTCATTTTCGCAGATCATCCATCCTCTGGAAATATCCACCCATCATGTGAGTGTTACACTACATAACATACTACATACTACATACCACATACTACATAGTGCATACTACATACTACATACTACATACTACATACTACATACTACATATTACATACTACATACTACATACTACGTATTGCATACTATATACTACATACTACATACTACATACTACATACTACATACTACATACTACATACTACATACTAAATACTACATACTGCATACTACATACTACATACTACATACTACATACTACATACTACATACTAAATACTACATACTGCATACTGCATACTACATACTACATAACACTCTATCACGGATTATTTATATAAACCCCCTCTTTTTTTGGGGATTTGAAA